AGAGAGAGAGAGAGAGAGAGAGAGAGAGAGATAAAAGAATATGTTAAATATAACACATATATAATATTAAATTTTAAAATGATTTCTTCAAACAAAACAAAAATTTGTATTATTTCTGTCTGTATTTCTCAGTTTTTCTCAAAGTATTATTGTTTGTTATGAATGTATTTTGAAAATTCATTTTAAATACTTTTGAACATCGCATACAATGTGAGAGAAAAAGTTTTGTATGTTTTTTGTACATATTATACAAAAGAAGTGAGACATAAAAGGGGATAACATAATGAAAGAGTAAAGTCTACACTATTTTTGTTACTTTGAATACAATTTACATTTGAAATTAGATGCAATTCTTTCGCAGGAAATGCAGTCATTTTATACAAAATTCTAAAACAAATCTTCTTCTTTTTGACAGCAAATGATTTTTTAAAATTTGCATAAATATTATATGATATAAATATTACAAAATGAGATATATCGATTAAATAATGTATTATTTCTAAATTCTAAAATATAATAACTTGATCTAACTAAAATAAATATATTAAAAATATAAATCTAGTTTAAACTTAGTTTGTGAACCTTTACTAGGAATTCAAAATGTTTGTCAAGAATTTAATGTCTATTTATTGACAAAAACAATAAAAATAGTTTAATATTAAATTAAATGATGAGATAAATAAGAAATAATGTCAAATGTCGTCAAATCGATTGCTTATACAAATAAATCAAATATTAATAAATTGAATGCAAATATAAAGCAAAGAGAAGAGAAGATGAGATGCTTTTTGTGTGCATACAATTCAAATGCTCTCTCTCTCTCTCTCTCTCTCTCATATTTATTAAATGTATTTCATTCAATAGTGAGATGTATTGTAAGTTAAAGTGCAGTAAATGTAAGTATTTATACCTTAAGTGAGTCGTCGACATCTCCTTCCATAACCTTCAGTATAATAGCGGCCAACATATTAAAGCCCTGACAGTAACCAACCGCTGATTCGTGCCATCCATTAGAGCGTCGATTGGTTTTGGTTAATATGAAACAAAATGAGTTGATTTAGTCGTTCATAACTTATTTATATCAATACTAGTTATTCTCGAGTGGCTATCAAATGCAGATATACTGTAAGTGTCTATTAATAGTGTTTTTCTCTCATTAAATCTGACAAAAAACTCTTTCAAAATCAATACATTTCTTCTGTCGTTAATTACAATAATAGATAAGATGTAAAAAATATTAGTTCGTAATTATAATTACGTGATAAACCAATTTCACTGCTTTATATGATTTATGAGTCGTTAGCCATTATTACGAGAGATAAATAGGAGTATGTTTTGTCTCCCATTAGTAACGGACAGAACTGTTATATCAAATATCTCTAATGGAGTGCTATTTTAAAGACATGTATTGAGAAATCATGTAATCATAAATCGGTGTTCTCTGACATACAGTACATCCAAAGAATAATGATTATAGTGCCTCGAAAACGAGTCATTCAATTTTAAATCTAGAGTAACTCAGTTTGAATACAATTTTATATTACAAATCTAGAGTTTGAAGTATTTTGGACTGAATATAAAATTGTATGATTTAATGGCAATTCGTGTGACAATAAATGGTATTATAGCGTAAAACAATATTGTGAAATATTTCTAAATATAGATAACATGATTCTTCTTGTATTCTAACAGCACTTGTAAATTGCATTTATATATACAGTATATTTAATCCTATTTTTTAAAGATTATATAAAATTCTTTTACTTAAAATATTTACAATAAAAGGGGAAATTAGAAATAAGTGAATGCATCACAAAGAATAGAAAGAAAGAAAGAGAGAGAGAGAGAGAGAGAGAGAGAGAAGTGGTTGATAATAAAAAATAATATAATGTTTGGATGATGGTAATTGTCATACATTTATTCCAACGCGCGTACGCCAGTAGTACTTGTTTGAGGAGCGCCTGGTTATCGGATTCTTCGCCACTGAAAAGACTACATCCGGTTCTGTGGAGGTCCTGACATATGCACCAAATGTCATACAAACACATCAAGTATTTATGTATTAAATTAGCGAATATAAGGCATAATTAAATATTAATCATTTCATTCTTTACTTTCCTAATAAATATTTTATTTTGTTAGGGAATAATGAATGAATGTTTTTGCTTCGCTTTGTTTTGTTTATAAATTATAAGTTATAAAATATCTAAATCTAAACTTAATGTTTGCGTTAATATATGTCTTGTTATATATATTAATATTTTATATAATATGCATTATATTCTTATTATGATGTGAAAGGTGTGATACCTTTACGATCTGTACGCCGAGTGCCTCGTCGTCGGGATTTTCTTTCTCATTGAAGCAAAATCGTGAAGTGATTGACCAATTGATTTGACGCGTCTGGATGTGCCGTTCAGCTAATGTGATCCACAACTGAATGCAAACAAAACAAATATTAGACAAAATTTAGTGAATTTGTCGATAGAGAGGACAAATAGACACACAATAAATGCCTAAACATAGAAAAATGTCATTAAACCGTGTTTTCACTTAATTTGGAAAATGTTCTCTCTCTCTCTCTCTCTCTCTCTCTCTCTCTCTTCTATTCTTTGTGATTCATTCACTTATTTCTAATTTTCCCTTTTATTATAAATATTTTAAGTAAAAGAATTTTATATAATCTTTAAAAATAGGATTAAACATACTGTAACTTATATATAAATGCAATTTACAAGTGCTGTTAGAAAACAAGAAGAATCATGTTATCTAAATTTAGAAATATTTCACAATATTGTTTTACGCTATAATACCATTTATTGTCACACGAATTGCCATTAAATCATACAATTTTATATTCAGTCCAAAATACTCCAAACTCTAGATTTGTAATATAAAATTGTATTCAAACTGAGTTACTCTAGATTTAAGATAAAATGACTCGTTTTCGAGTCACTCTAATCACTATTCTTTAAATGTACTGTATGTCAGAGAACACCGATTTATGATTACATGATTTCTCAATACATGTCTTTAAAATAGCACTCCATTAGAGATATTTGATATAACAGTTCTGTCCGTTAGTAATGGGAGACAAAACATACTCCTATTTATCTCTCGTAATAACGGCTAACGACTCATAAATCATATAAAGCAGTGAAATTGGTTTATCACGTAATTATAATTACGAACTAATATTTTTTACATCTTATCTATTATTGTAATTAACGACAGAAGAAATGTATTGATTTTGAAAGAGTTTTTTGTCAGATTTAATGAGAGAAAAGCACTATTAATAGACACTTACAGTATATCTGCATTTGATAGCCACTCGAGAATAACTAGTATTGATATAAATAAGTTATGAACGACTAAATCAACTCATTTTGTTTCATATTAACCAAAACCAATCGACGCTCTAATGGATGGCACGAATCAGCGGTTGGTTACTGTCAGGGCTTTAATATGTTGGCCGCTATTATACTGAAGGTTATGGAAGGAGATGTCGACGACTCACTTAAGGTATAAATACTTACATTTACTGCACTTTAACTTACAATACATCTCACTATTGAATGAAATACATTTAATAAATATGAGAGAGAGAGAGAGAGAGAGAGAGCATTTGAATTGTATGCACACAAAAAGCATCTCATCTTCTCTTCTCTTTGCTTTATATTTGCATTCAATTTATTAATATTTGATTTATTTGTATAAGCAATCGATTTGACGACATTTGACATTATTTCTTATTTATCTCATCATTTAATTTAATATTAAACTATTTTTATTGTTTTTGTCAATAAATAGACATTAAATTCTTGACAAACATTTTGAATTCCTAGTAAAGGTTCACAAACTAAGTTTAAACTAGATTTATATTTTTAATATATTTATTTTAGTTAGATCAAGTTATTATATTTTAGAATTTAGAAATAATACATTATTTAATCGATATATCTCATTTTGTAATATTTATATCATATAATATTTATGCAAATTTTAAAAAATCATTTGCTGTCAAAAAGAAGAAGATTTGTTTTAGAATTTTGTATAAAATGACTGCATTTCCTGCGAAAGAATTGCATCTAATTTCAAATGTAAATTGTATTCAAAGTAACAAAAATAGTGTAGACTTTACTCTTTCATTATGTTATCCCCTTTTATGTCTCACTTCTTTTGTATAATATGTACAAAAAACATACAAAACTTTTTCTCTCACATTGTATGCGATGTTCAAAAGTATTTAAAATGAATTTTCAAAATACATTCATAACAAACAATAATACTTTGAGAAAAACTGAGAAATACAGACAGAAATAATACAAATTTTTGTTTTGTTTGAAGAAATCATTTTAAAATTTAATATTATATATGTGTTATATTTAACATATTCTTTTATCTCTCTCTCTCTCTCTCTCTCTCTCTCTCT